ATTCTTCTACTTATTTTCAACCACACATTTTTCAATAAAACAATATTTTCAATCATATCAATAACTTTTCCTTCTTTTTCAACCACAAATTCTCCATCAATCTACTATTCCAGACATTCTTCCAAAATAATGTGACTCAAACACACCCTCAAAAACTGATTTATGCACTTAAAATAGGCATATAATTGTAAAAACCATTAGACATACATAAACATGGATTGAGGTGTGGTTGTTCAATTCATAACACGTTATAGGGTCGTGACATATTTAGTATCTCATTGAAAAAAATAAAATAATTTATTTCAAAGGGTGTCTTTTGAGAGAAAACTCAATGGTGGACTATATGGCAAATGAACGTTTGAACTTTGGTGAACATAGATCCTTTAGCAAGACGAGATAAAGAGAAAAATGGCTAAGCTCCTCGACTAGACCGTCAGGTAGCTTTACACTATTGGAAATTTTAACTCAATCAATCATGGAAATTTTATTCAAGACGACCAATGAGAGAGAGTTAGGGTAGCAGTGGAGTTGGAAAGCTCAGTGAGTTTTCGGTTTTCACTCTATTTACAAGTTCCGTTTGCACGGTATAAAGATTTTTAATGTACGAAAGACTTTCCAATGGGAGATTTAATAGTGTTCTCAAGGTGCTGATATCCTTAAAAGCTTATTCAAACAATTATAAAGAACAAAAAAGCATATAACCTGTCATTTGTATTTTGTATCGATTGTTGTAAAGTACATAAACAATGAAGAGTAATTAATAAATCCAAATAATTTGAACATAATATAACAAAATAAGAAAATAAAAACTTACAAATGAATTGGAGGGATTTAAGCTTGAGATCTTGCTAGGCTTCGTTGGCATTTGATTTCAAGTTTTGATCATTCCTATATTTCAAACAATGGCATCAATGTCTTCTTAACCTTAAAACAAAATAAGGATATTATTTGACTGAACAAATAGTAAATACATAGTACAATTTACTAATTTATTGTCATGAATGGGGACAAAAAAAAGGCAATCAAAACTTAAAATGGGTTCCATTAGGTTAATATCAATTTCCAGTCTCAGGAGCAAATCAAAAGATCTGCATGTCGTCCCCTTTTTTTCCATGAATTATTATGAAGAATGCAGAAGCCATGCACGTGGTCCAACTGTCAAAACAAAGTAAAAATCCAAAGAAAACGACGAGAAAACAAGCATAAAAAGGGAATAATCGTCCTTAAGACTGTGTGTGACTATGCAGTGCTACATTTCAATTTGTTCTTTTTAATTATTTATTTGTTTTTTGGAAGACAATAATTCATTAATTCGCGTCATCGTGAAATACGGACACAATAGAAATTGGGATATTACGAGTCCAATGACAATAATCCAAACTAAGCACACCCAAAGCAGCAAGTCGATGAGCAACTCTTGTTTCCTCACGATAAATAAAGCGACACTCCTTGTTAGTTGTTACCACCTCATGTTGCAAATTGGTAATATTTGACACAATTAACGCATTAATAGAGACAAAGTTATGATCGAAATGGAGGTTTTTACCCCCACTTGAAACCATAACCATAAAATGAAAATAACACGCTCTTTGTTCAATCCAACTGAAATGATGAAGATTATGATGAAGACTAGGATAAGAAGGGTTTGGTCATGTTTGATTGTTAGATGATTCGTTCTCATTGAATGTTAGATGATAGGATCACCACTTTATTGCTTTTTGTAAAGTCATTAAAGCTAGTCTTTTCTTTAAAGAAATGTGTTGGAATTCAAGCTCTGACTTTTATAATTGCATATGCATCCTCTTAGACCTAATGCTGCATCCATTAAATTGTAGCGTGACGTGTGACTCCTTATCTTATATATAAACTTTTATTTCGCTATCGTTGAATTTAAAGTAATGTCCATTTTAAACTTTCGCAAATAAAAGTAACATGGAAAAGAAAGTGTGTAGGCATAAAGTTTAATTGAAAAGAATAGAAATAATTACTTCATCCTTGTGTTCTCGAGCAATTTTGAACGTTCGGGTTTTTTATGGAAATGTAATTACTTTTCTTCGTTCTTTATTTTCCTTTTTTAGCAGTGTGAAACATTATCAAATGCAATCTTATTTTTATTTCAATCAAATGATCACAAAGATGGAGTATTTATTCATAATAAAAGGAAATAAAATGTAAAGGAATTTTTTTAGAGTAAGAACTAAAGGTAGACTTTTAGACACAACATCTCATGTGCCTCTACAAATTAAGCAACCCTTTAATAAAGTAAACTAGGTTTTATTAGTAATTGTTTCAAAATATTGTCTAATTTGTATTACCATAAATAACTCGATGTGTCCATTTGGAATGTTCTGAAATCATCAATATAAAATATATAAGAGCTTTCTATATTATTCCTACAAAAAAATTTACATGCGGGAAGTTTTCTTAAGGAAAAAAATCAAATCATTTACTCGAATATTACGAAACGCAGAAGAAATTAAAAATAGAAAAGAACCAATTCACCTAACTAAATTTTTTATTATAAAGTAGCAAAGGATGCAAGATCTTGTATTTTTACAGTAACCCTCGTATAGTGAACCTCAAACTTGAAGACTTAAAATAAGTGAAAAAAATAATGAATTTAAACAAGATTAATTACTTAGAAACTGGTTAATATTATATTGGCAACTGACAAAGGCTGTGAATGTTTAGAAGTGCGTAGCAGTCGTCTCCATATGGGCTGACTTTACTTCAAACCCTTAATCATAATCTAATGATGTTTTTGCTTTCTGGGTTTTTTAGAATATAATCTTTGGAGTTTAGTTGTTAAACTTTGGTGACTTAGAATATTCTTCCCTTCTCCAACACCCCTCAAAGGCTTCAACTTTCAAGGTCCACCTATTCTTGATCACCTTTACTATATATAAAATTATTATCCTCTCTCTCTCTCTCTCTCTCACTCACACACACACTCTCTCTCCTTTTCTCTCNTCTCCAACACCCCTCAAAGGCTTCAACTTTCAAGGTCCACCTATTCTTGATCACCTTTACTATATATAAAATTATGTTCCTCTCTCTCACTCACACACACACTCTCTCTCTCCTTTTCTCTCTCTAGGGTTTGTGTTTTTTGACAATAGATATGTAAATATATAGGTATATCTTAGTATATGTAAAATTATATAGTAGAATTTTGTCCAAGTAAGAAAAGCACATGGACACTTGAAGGGAGGGACGTTTAGGGAAAAGTAAATTGTTGTCACCAAGAGTATGTTTGTTTCTTTACTTGTCTTTTACCCCAAAACGAAATTGGGGGGTGGGGTGGGGGGGGGGTTTTATTTTATTAACATTACTTGAAAATACATAATAAGATCTCTGAAAGTATTTTCCAATTTCAAGATCTGAACTTTGTCATTAGGTCCATATTGACTACCACGCTACCTTGAAAATGTTTACAAATTTCAAAATGTGATATCATGCTTTCTTTGTATGTCGAGAGTAAATCTTTATATATTTATATCTAGAGGCGTAAAATGAGTTCCGGTAAATTGGACCTTCTGGACATGGTCATAGCATATGCGTAAAAAAGGAGGTCGAACACAACTCGTCTTGAGTTTGGCGGGCCACCATGCCCATTACATTTTGTTACCTTTTCATTATTTAGTTAATTTCATAAGAAAGATGCGAGACAAATTAGAGGAACCCAGCCACATTGACCTGAATTGAGATTGCATTCTCAGACCAAAACCCACAACATTCCCATACCTAGTGGTTTGCCCTAAATCTGCTTTATTTTTACATTTTTTTTTCAATTTCATTCTTCATTTCCTTTCTTCCGCGACTAGCGACTGAAAGGCCGCATCTGCGACCACTCGACCACCAACCAGCAAATCATGGAAGGGATTTCTATGACAGCAGCGAATGTTCTTCATCAAGTAAAAATTGTCAAAAATTCGGGTTCTCAAGTTTCTAATGAGCATCTATAAATTTAAAGAGATAAAAAATTTGAAGTACTATATTTAACACTTAATTTTACCACACTTAAAAAATATTTATTTTTTTTCTTTATTTTTTTTAATTTTCATTAGCTTCCCTCCAAATTGCTATATTATTATTTTTCCGTTGAAAATTGAAATATCAT